TGGACAATATCCTCACTCAGCGAGTTCCAGTCTTTGATGACCCGGCGGGAAAGTTGGGCACTGAAAAGCAAGCGAAATTTAAAAAAAAGTAAAAGGAAGCCGGCTACATATATATCATCCAGGAGAAAACAACTGACAGGAGGGTATAGGGAACAAAATAAGCATTGCGGGATATCAGGTAAAAAGAAATAAAATGCAAAAATGTGGGAAAAAAATAAACAACGGGCAACTTGTTGTACATTAAGTGGGAAAACCTTAAAACGCACCGTAACAATAAGAGCAAAGTTCCATATGATATGATCAACAGGTAAAGCAAACAATTATTTTACTGAATAAGTATAAAAATGCCCAAATTGTGAACACAGAGTGGACTGCACATAAGAACGCTTACAGATAATATCATGAACAAGACGTCGGGGCCGCGAAAATCGAGAGGTTCATTCGCATTTACACAAAAATTCGATGAAGATGCCTAGGATTTCCCATTAGACGTAAGTGATCTTCGTTATGACAAGATTTTATGCTGACGTTATGAAGTCAGGTCCTAAATAAAAATCTTTACGTTGTTGTCTGCTACTTAAAAATTTTGAGAAAAAGTTCCAAGGTGATGAAGTATCTGAGGGCATCCTGAATTTGAAGTTCCTAAGTTTAGGCAATACGGCTTGTTGTTTAGAATATATAATTTGACGAACTTTTGTCGATTCACACGAAAATCGGTACTGCGACTTCCAGCGACACAAACATTAAACCCTTGGCCGTCAACTCTCTCTCCACCATATAAGGCCCCTACATTCTCAGACATCAGCCCGTATACTTTAGTAAAAAACTATTTTGCCATATGATATATTACAGCCCGAAAGAGTGTTAGTCTGTTGTGATACAAACTCTTAATTTGATGCCGCAATTGACGTCGAAGACCTTCTACAACCTGTCACGTATGGTTATTTATATTATTTACTTGAGGATGCTGGAAGTAAGCCTATGACCGAGTAAGTTAGCAGGATTTTGCGTGATTTCCTTAGTACAGTTTTGCTCGGGGATTTGATACAGTCGCAACCCACGCAAAATATGCGGTCTTTAATTAGCGGTTAGCAAATGGGTGTCGGGATTTTCTGTGAGGTTCATTTGGACAACTGGCTACATATAATTGTTTTGGTGTGCTAAAAATTATCAAATCGACCAACATAAATTCCTGTTGCTGAGGTTGGTGGTCTTTATTGACCAATAGGAATAGTAGACAATTTCTGTTGGCGGAAATTCGACCGTAGATCGGCGGAACATATTTGATGCGTCCCCACAAGATAGTCCTACCACAACAACCAAAGAATCACGGCTCAACGATTATGAAGCCTCAGAGGCAGGTTCGATCGTCTATGCACCGAAGTTAATACTCTGTGTTTCACCATAAAAAATCTTCATTTGACCATAAATTAACCAGCTTTGCAGTTAAAAGCATAGCAGTCGCTAAACTCATGTTGGAACCTTCATACCTTCTGATGTAAGTATGTAATGCATTCCATCGCAGAGGTTCCACCAAACTTCCTAACAATTAACCGAGAAAACCAATCAGTAATTGTTACGACTACTGCTGGCCATACACGATCTAATCTTCTCTCGTTCATCCCCTAAACGTTGAAGTCATTCGTGCTAATTAACGGGCAGTTTTGCAGTTTGTACTGTCACATCTAAATATTCCAGTGTCATTAACTTCATTCTTCCACGTTTACACTTCACTGCCATAAAAAATACTAATTCCGCGTCCAAACCTCACTTGTTCGCCAAAAAGTACAGTATGTTCTTAAACACGACAGGCAACACCGGCCAACTCTTGCACGGCCATCCGCGCAGACTTCACTCCGAAAAACTAAGAAAAGCAAGAACAAAATTCAACTTCCCTGCACAATCCAGATCCATGGTTTCCCTCACCACTAGGTACGATTGAATGCGACTTGATCTGTTATGCCTCCGTCACTTCTTGTGACTGTGCTCGACCATTCTCAATATTTGTCCTATCCCGGAATCGGAGGTGAATGGAAATTGATAACTGCCATTTTTTCTGGTCGAAGATGAGCACGGTCATTGGATTTGAACGAACCATCGTATGTTGTATAAAAAGAAAAAGTCTGCCTTCATAAATTCTCGTCACCAAGCACAATTGTGGTTTCGCATGTTCGCCTGAATCATGTACGCTTCAATCTAATTTTAGTTAGCCGCAACCCCTTCACGTGCGCTAATGTACAGCACAACAATTAATGACCGTCTCACATTATGGCTGCGTGCCTTTCCTATTTTTGATATCTCGGAAGAAAACAGTACTCTAAAATTTATGAATGCGCCCACTTACCTTCTTTAGCGTGCCAGTCACTATTATTATTAACAAGGGAGGAAATTTCCAAAACCTTCTCTGACGTGAGTTTATTTAACTGCTCGGGTGCATACAAATAACAGTCACGGCATATAACTCTGATTCCAATAGATATTTATAGCTTCTACGATGTCATCTTAGGACAGCGTTCATGTCCCACGCACTTCAATATTTTAGATATCCTATCTCTTTTGGAGAAAGACATGCGATGTTCCACTGCTCGACTCGTTTGTAGTAAAATCCTCCGCTTGCCCTCCACTTGCACCCCATTTATATGAACGATAACATACCCAGTAGAGTCGTATAGCAAACAAAGGAACCAATTGCTTAACTGCTTCAAATATAACACGGATGCCTTCCAAACGTATGCTTAGACTAGAAGACATTAAATATAACCATTCTATTTGCGTCTTACACAGCAGTTCTGTACCTTCTACGACTAGCGTACGACGTCTCACGCAACATTCCCTAGGGGATGGAGAACTATTGCGTCATACGGGAGGATAGAAGGCTTTAAACCTTGCCTTTAGAGAAACGTTATTTATTTTATCATTAATTCTAATTTTTTCCCGTTTTGCAATCAGATTTCTTCATAACGTGTTCACCCGATGCAGCCTTCCAATTTCACTGTCGCAAAGAATGACAAAGCTCCCAAAGAGGACAGTTTAAGACAAACATATTGCGCACGACGTAATTTGCTTCGCCTAACATATCAAGTTATTTTCTTTATAGATTAACTACAGTACTGTTGGAAATACTTGATTAAAATGACCAATTTTTACTACGGTATAATAATATGTTAAATGAGATGGTGAAGAGGACAGTATCATCCTTATCCTATGGAGTAGCTTGTTTGATGTGAGCCTATTTCTTTTTAATATATGAAACTCCATACACACAACGTAAGAGTTATCCCATTTTCTTTAGACAAACTGCACATTCACAAAACGGAATAATATGGGCACCATATTAAACCATAAAGGAAGTGATCAATCACAAACAAAAATTCTAATATTTCTAAAACATTCATATTTTGTATGCTCTACTCGTCCAAAATAACCGCAGACATAAGATTTATGAGGATTGTTGCGCATGAATAATCACCTACATTCTGGCATCCTTGATTAGAAGACCATAATGCCGAGGCGTTACATTCAAGGGCAGTCTGTCAAAAAGGGAAATGCAGCTTTCTTGCATAACTATCATAGTTTTGGAACAAACAATCCATAATGAGGACGCAAGGGAAAAGAAAAACGTGTACTAATGCGGTTTATAGTAGCTACCACAAACACGAAAATGGTCCATAAAATTTGCGAATATGCTATGCAAAAAAACTTTCAACAACCAAAGTGTCTGAAAGTATTTTCTTTGACTTCCATTAGTACACGGGTTTATTTGAATTAAATTACTTATTATACACGAACCAATTAGCTGTCAATGGCAGTGTCAATATTTGTGCACTATGACGAACGTTTTGACAAAAGAACATTTTTTTAATACTGCTGATGGTGATGTAACTGATGTAGTTAAACAATTTTAGAGTAGTATGTAGCCAATCTAAGAGATTTCAAGTTACCGAGGGCTTAGCTTTGATTTTATTCTTGTTTTTATCCATGGAAATTCATGCATATTTAAACTGTTTCCTTTTGCCATTTTCGTCGTGCAGTTTTTTTGAAAAATCTCATTGTGTATCTGTCTGCTATATATTCGATTTAATAAGTGGATTTTTAGCCGCCTCATACTTATGGACTTCGAGTATTTTTTAACTGAAAAATGATCAGCCTAGGTGAATACCAATGAAAAAGTAATCGCGGTAAGCTTAATGTATTTTGAAATCAAAATGTACACCACAACCTATTCCATCACCAATATCTATGGATAAGGTTATTGTTCCTTATACAACCGCTAAACTGTTCAAGAGGCATTAAGAGAACAATTTATTTTTTGGCGGCGCCATGGTCCAAATAGTTCAAGTTTAATAATTCTGACATTTTCTGTATATTTTCAAGATGCTTCAATTAAAGAATTATTTGGATATCGTGTGGACCCCAGCGAAGCCTTTAAGGTAATTTACAAGGTCTCGCCAAA